TGAAACTTAACCAAAATGCGTGTTTTGGGCAAAATACGAGCATGGAAGAATTACGACCATAATTCAGCCCGTAATTCGCCCAGAATCGGGTTTTTGAGGCAGATTCAAGCCAAAGGAGAGGGAGTCGACTTTTTGAAGCAAAAACAGAGGCTTAGAGAGAGAAAGTGCAAAGAACAAACCATAGGAGCTATTTGGAGTGGATTTCTCATCATTGAAGCCCAGATTGCATCCACAGGAGTGAAAATCATCATCCCAGAGCAGATTCTTCCCATTGTTATGAGTATGACTGCTTTGTATTCTGTTTCCCTCTCTCTCTCTATGGAGTAGAACTTTCTCTCACTTGGGTATGATGAACCCTAGTTCCATGTGTTAGGGATCTTGATTGTAATGACTTGGAATTGTTATACTGTTTGATTATAATCGAATGATGCATGATTCATTGAATTAATTGAAGTCTGATCAGCTTTTCTTGATTTCTGTTGCAACCTGAGATAGATAGAATCTGATTAGGTTGTTAGAGTTTCATCATTCGGTAGTAGTAGATTGGTTATACGAGAGTTAGTCAATCTACTACTTTGTACTGGAATCCAATTCCAGTAGTGGAGTTCTGTGTTCATAGCCTTAGCTTTCTATCCCGGTGAAGGTTAGTCGCCTGCCGGGTAGTTGGACTGAGAGGGCTTGGTCAGCTTAAGAGATTCCAAGCTACTGTCGGATCTTCCGCAGTTTAATCAACAGTAAATCAACCCAGGGTAATTACAATTGAGACCTAACTAAGGAGCTAGGGGGACTCATTCCCGAGTGACTCTTCCTTGACTTCAGAAAACCGAACCATTTCCTGCTTTTAGTTAAAACAACAATCACTCGACTTAGTTTGCTAGATAATAGATAATCACTGAGTAGGCAGTAGATCTAGACCCCGGGTTGACATTAGAACTTGCTACTATACTGCATTCCCGGACTGCGATTACACTTGGTCGCAGTTTGTTGTTGTGTTTTAGCGTGTCAATAACTTTCCATATCTTCATTCTACATGTCTGGGCTTGTTCCTCAAGTTTCCAAGGCGATGAAATCTTCCAATGTCGCTCCAAGATTTCCCTCTCTCTCTCTTTGGTTCGTCCCTTGGGTGATTGGAAACAAAAATCCATCTCCCCCCTCCAAAAACGCACAAAACATGCTTTTATACCCGCTTCTGGAAGTTCCCCGATCATATTACCCGGTCGGGTAATTGTACTTGGTGACCGGGGATCTTCAAAATGTTCCGAGTCACTTTTCTGTGCAAAAGGAGAATTATCCTGTCGGGTTTTTAAGATACCTGGTTGGGTAATTGGACCTCCTGACTGGGGATTTCTTCTGATCGAAATCCCCTACCTGACTTCCTAATCCCCTATTGGGGATTTCACCATTCTCGGTCCCTTGTCTTTGATTCTTCGTTTTCCCCTCGTTCGGACTCCAAATCAGGTGGCGTTATATCCCAAACGCTCGTAGTCTCGTCATCTTTCTTTTCATGATAATTTTACATGATTCTTTGGTCCCAAAATGAGGTAGAAATTCATTCTTCTTCAGGTCATGCCTGAATTTCTTCCCCGAGACGTCAATTGATCTCCGATTGACTTGAAACTTGTGTCTATGCTTCACTTTACGTGTTAGGACCTGAAATCTGACAAAGGAACATAACCTAGCATAAAATAGGCCAAAGTGAAATAAATATCAAGCTAAACAATCAAAAAATGCGTTTGCAAATATGTGCAAACCTAAGTGGGAGTCTTCTTTAATTAAGGAGGATTCAAGCTTCTTCTACCTATATCGTAGTTGAAGCACCTAAAGGAGAATTTGGTGTCTTTCTAGTTAAAATGGTTGCATTTTGCAGTTCATAATGAACATGTTTGTTTTACGCAGATTTTTTTTCAAAATTCGAGTTAAAACGAAGGATATACATGTTTATTTAAAAAATATATGAATAAATTAATCATTTCTTATCTTAATCATCATATATGAGTCCAATAAAATTTAAAAGACTCGAGCCTTACAAAAATTTCATGATAAATCAGGATAAAATGGGGTGCTAATTCATTCTTAAGATTGAATTAATTTTTTGTAGATATTATTATTAGCTGACAAACAAATATAACCACAGGTAAAATTACTCCACGGGACACGTATGCATAAAAAAAAGCTCAAAAGTTGTTTGAGATAAATTGATATAATAAATTATTTATGACAAGAATAAAAAGTCATTGGTCATTGAGAACTAACTACCTTGACAAAGCAACATGTATATAGGTTCTTACATAAGGGATCAAAATTCATTGACTGTGAGAATAGAACATATTAAGTGGCAAACTCATTGATATTGTGTCTAATATCATAAAATACAAACACAAATTTTATGGATATAGTGGGTCTCTTATTTATAATATATTAATTAACTATATTGATTAATAATTGTTGATAATAAAATTTACCCTGCCAACGGTGGGGCACAAAACTAGTTACATAATTTATGGTTATGCATTTGCTCCTAAGTTATGAAAACTATCACATTTTTGGTTCATGACTCAAGTTTTACAAAAATTTCATGATAAATCAGGATCAAAATAATTTTAGAAATCTATAATGGATAAGAATTAGAAGCTTTTGTTCTTGGTTTGAGATGTATAGATGAAGAGGGATCAAAATATTGTGTCAATGTCTGTTTTCTATGTTGAGATTAGAATAATCTCTCTATGCAGGCAAGGCAGTATATTTTGTGTCCTTTGGTCCTTGAATTACGAGAGATACTTATTGATGTGTTACTCCCCGTTCGGAATTACTAAATTCTCCGATCGGGAAATTAAGAAGGGAGACCGTGGATTGGGGGTGACGAGTAAATTTATCTTTTTTGTTTAGGAGTATTGGAAAAAAATCAGGTTTTTTATTAGTTTTCATTTTTCAGACCTACTTAAAGTGTTGTAAACACGAATTTTGGGCAGACTTTAATTAATTGAAAAACCCTTTGGTTCATTAAGTGTTTAGCTTGTGAATTTTGCTCTCGTCGTTGGTTGACTTCAATCGCGTTGAGTGTGTCTCTATATCAAGCATTCATTTTGTTTGTGGTCGAGCTTCTACCCTTATATTGATAAAGCCTTCTCCTAGGTGTGAGATTGCACTTCAATACCGCCTTATATTTTTAGTTTTTCATGTTGTTGAGAAAAGTTCAGAAACCCCTAAAAAGATTGTGGTTGCGCGACTTTGACAAAAATGAGTGGCTTTGTGCTCATATCAAGTCGTATCAGAGCCCTGGGTCAACACAGTGGCGAGGAAGGCAACGAAGGTGCAAACCATGGAGAAAAACCTTGCAGACATCATGAAACAGCTCGCAACACAGATGGCTCAGATGAGAGTTTTATTTCAAACCATGGCTGAACAGAGTTCGAGTTCAAGTTCTCCGATGCAACAGAGTTTGAGTTCTGAGGAAGTCGATGTTAAGCTAGAGGACGATTTGAAGGATGCTCCCGCTTTTGGCGAGTTCCTTGAAGAAAACAGAGTAGTTTCTCCAACACCAGACACTCCAGGAAAAAGAAACTCAAAGTGATTGAATCATCAATCAAATATCCTGAACTGTAGAAGAAAGATGGAGATTTCTACGAGATGCTCACAGTGGAAAATGAGTCGATGTTTTATCTTGATCCTTTTTACGACTATTGTAATAATGATTTTTCTTGCAAAAGCCCACAAGCTTTAGACAGTGTGTCAAAACAAGAAACGACAACTAGCGAGTGTGCATACTAGGTTTGAGGCTCTTCTGGAGAGGAACAGGGACGTAACTTTCACATTTTGCTATCATCATTGGTGGACTCCAATTGCGTCGATTATGTCTCTGTATCAATCAAGCATTCATCTTGATTGTGGTCGAGCTTCTACCCTTATATTGATAGAGCTTTTTCCCATATGTGAGATTGCACTTCAATTCTGCCTTATCCTTTTAGTTTTTCGAGTTGTTGAGAAAAATTCAGAAAAACCTAAAAGATTGTGGCTGCGAGATTTTGACAAAGACCAATGGTTATGTGCTCGTATCACTTATCGTCTCTTAGACAGCAACTGTTACTTGTAGGCCTCTTCGACCCTAATTAATCTCTTAATGGCATCCTATATCAATGCCCAAATGCCAAGGAATAACAACAAATCCAACCCCTCTCCTATCTTTTATTCCTCTAAACCTTAATTTTTATGTTTTGCACCTTTAAAATACTTGTTCATCATCGAACAAAGATGATAATATCTACCTAAAATTAAGTTAATGCATCATTTAAATTAAGTACAAGAGGAGGAATGTCTAAAATTGTGTACATTAAACCACTTTTCCACTAGAACACCATTAGCAAGAGTCATCATTGAACATAAATTTCCACCACTCAAGAAACAACACATAACACATAGAAACCATCACAACCTCCCCCTTATTCATCTCTCCCTTTAGATAATTCCTTTCCTCACTTCGGGGTGAATGCCTGCCAAAACAAAACATAAGAGGACCAAGAAAGCACGTAAATCCAATCAATCAAACTACATCCTTCTTATAGATAGCCGACTTTGAACGACTAGGGTTAGGGTTTTATCGATGGATGTTTCTGACCAGACAACCTATCAATCATAACGACCCAAAAGTACTACGGTTTAACTTAACCTAACCCTTTTGTCACCACTATGTCAATAGGTACAAGTTCATCTACATAAATAATGGTGCCATGACCAGGATCAGCAAGGTGAGCAAAGAGATTATCGATGGGGATGGTCCCGGTGTAGAAGTCTGAAACCAAGCACCCATCACAACCAACATGGCCAATCGACCATTCTTGATCTCCTTGGTCCTCAACTCCTTAAGCTTCTTGGGCTAGCCGATGCGTCAATCCAAAGGGTCGAACCACAGCTCACCTGGGTACCCCACGTTAGTCCCGGTCAGCTTGTTGTTGGGACATTTTGGGTTGGTGTTGACGCACACGGGCTTCAAGATGTCGGTCCATCTATGCCCCTCGGGCGCAATCGATAAAGATGAGCTCGACAATGAAAAGTGTGGTGGTGTCGGTGAAGTACTCCTGCTCGCCGGTGGTGTACCACGACAGCGTGTTGAGGTTGCTGATCTTGGTCAAGAACCCTGAGATGAAGATCCTGATTCAGTCATTCAAACTCAAAATTTAGATCAACCTCTGAATACTTAGAATTTCAAGAAACGAGCAATTGAAGCACATTTGAATTGTAATTTACCTAGGCCAGTGGGTCCAAGCCGAAGTCGCCAGGAAGGGTGTCGTTGAGCCACGCAGGAGGAGTGCTGCTGCGGAACCAGATGGGTCTCTCTGGGTCAACTACTGCAGAAACTGTAACACCTTACCTAGCCACCGCCGACGATGTCAACTTTCTCATATTCAATCGCTTCCCACTTAGGAAAGCTGCCTTGGTTAAAGCAACCGTTGATCCAGTCTTTTGTGAACTGCTAATTTTGCAAACAAGAGGTTAGAACATTTTTTATTTTTGATCGAAAGGGTCGAAAAACCAGGTGGTCCAGTATCAAAGTTACTTGCCTGGGAGAAGAGACGGTTGCAACGGGAGAGGAAGCACAGACAGAGGCCATCTTTGCTTCCCTTTTTGTTTGTTCTCTTCTTTATTTTTTTTTATTTTTTATTTTTGGTTAGTTAGAGTGAAGGGGAGTGTTTTGGGTGAATGTAAAGCTTGTTGGTGTAATGTACAGAAGGAGGGAAGGAGGGGACTCATCTTGAAGGATAGGAGAATGGATAGCGGTTTTCCATGTGGCCTACAAAATCTCAGATCGTCCAAAAGTTTATTGGAAGATTTATGATTTTTGGTAAGCTTCTTGGATTCTTGTCCCAAATATCCGAAATCAAATTTCGGGATCGAAATTTGGCTCGACGACCCGATTTCAACTTGATCTGAGGGTGAGTTGGTTTACAAATTCCTTTTGTATGGCAGCCACAAGGTTTAGTTTGTAGTTTAAGATTCAAGGAGTGCTAATTGATTACGGGGTAGTTTGGTTATGGTAGTTGAACTAAATCGTGTGAGTCATGGGTCTCGTTGGACTTTGTCCTAGTCGTGGTAGGTACAAATACTTGGTCGTACTCGACTCTTCTCATTAGTATTTTAACCCTAAGTCTTTTTTATATAAGCTTAGGTATAGACTTGTGTCATAGAAAGCCTTCAAAATGTAAACCTCATAAAAAATCAGTCGTGAGCTCTTCAGAGCTGATCGTGGATTAGTCATGTTTACGTCAAACAGGGATACCACATAAATCTCGTGTCTCTAGTGTTCTTTCATTTCCGCATTTTTAAATTCGTCGTGGTATAAAAAATGGTTTAGATCCAAAAACCTAAATTGTGTTTTGTATAGGCGCCGATCATGAGCTGCTATTATATATTCATCCAAAAAATTCTGCCATTAATCGTCAAGCTGGAGTTCTATTTTTCAGCTTTTATGCTGAAGTTTGTACGGTGGTCACACCTAGATCAATTGGCAGCAGGCCAGCAGCCATTGCCTCATAAGCTTTAGTGGTGTGATTTTCGTCCTGAAGGTCATCGAATCTTCCTGCTCTCTACGTTACTCATCACTTGTCAAGGAGCAAAGAGTCAAGCATCATTAACGACTCCTTTAATCTGCTCCAATCTCCACTTCGCAATTCTTGCAGCAAACATGGAGGAAGTTTGTGGGGGACATGATATTTTCGCCGACGATCGACTCGAACAGTCAAGCATCGCCAGCAACTCCTGAATTGGCTGTGAGTCAAACCTCCTCGCACCTATGAGCTTCCTTCTCGACGTCACCTTGCATTAGTGCCCATGCTAGTCCTGTTAAGTAGTGACACTCCTGTCATCAATCACTCCGGCTCGTTCGTCTCCAACATTTGTGAGTAAAATCTAGCAGCAGCATCATTCATCCCTATGAATCTCAGACCAAACACGATTTGGTTGTGAAGTTAATGGGCCATACTGGATCCATGGGGCAGGTGACTCAGTTTAGACTCAAGTTCATGGACGAACCCAATTGATTCATCATGAGGAATGGCACTGGTCCATGTTTCAAGAAGGTTTAGACAAACCTTTCTATATGCATAAAAGTTTGGTCTCATTCTAGGTTCATCAAAAGGTTTGTATGCTTCTATCACAACTTTGGATGGGGCATGTTTATCATCTTTTGTATTGTATGCTCATATGCTAACATGAATTCACCCAAAAGCCAATGATTCTTCAAGTCATGTCGTTGAAAAGAAGTTGATCACTTAGCTCGCATAGTACTATGCGCCTCCATCTCAAGGTTTGTCCCCATCGGTCTTCATAGTGGGTCGCTTTCATAGTGTGTCACTTTCCATTGCCTCTCTTTAGGAGCAAATTGTCGCTCTGGCTAATAATAAACAATTCAGGGTCCCATCCTCTTTCATCATCAAAACCATGTTCAGTCGAAGGCAACACTTCATGTCGCACAGAGTTACGACTATGGCCGCTATGTTTTGTTGAGGAGTATTGTCTTCTTTCAAGCCACGCCCTCTTCATCAATGTCGCAAAGTCGTCAACACAAAGAAATCATGTTTTGTGCATTGAAGAAGAAAGAGATTTATTTCCCTAAGGCTTGGAGAATCGAAGTCATGGCAATGACGATATTATGCCAACAGGTCACTTCAATACCCTGTGTTGGGGAGATAGAACAACTTTCGTTAAACAAAGTTTTTCAAGTCATCAAGCGAGGTTGTCACTATCAAAGAGGAAATCTTCCTCTCCACATTCAGAATCAGTCAACTTTCAGTCTTCACCATTTCAACTTTCAAGTTGTAATTCACATCGCTCATGCTCCAGCTTGGGGGAGAGAATAGGGAGTCAAAATATATCGGGCGACTATCTCAGTCATCAAGTCGACCGCGATGTACCAAGTGAGTTTAAGATACAAAGTCAACCATCTTCGTCGGGAAGTTCAGAAGACGCAGTCAACCATCTTCATCAGGTTGTTCAGAGAAAATAAGTTGTCTCCAAATTAACCTCGTCCGAGATGTCATTCATCTTGTGTTTTGTTGTACAAGCTCGTCATGCTTGTTCTTCACATTTCCTTCAACCTCAACATTCTTGTCATTCATGTCTTCGCTTGAGGGGGAGTGTTACGGTTAATTAAACCATGTGAGTCATGGGCCTCGTTAGGCCTTGTCCGAGCCGTGGTAGGTATAGATACTTGGTCGTACTCGACTCTTGTCATTAGGGTTTTAACCCTAAGTCTTTCTCTATATAAGCTTAGCTATCGACTTGTGTGATAGTAAGAGGTCAAAATGTAAATCTAATAAGAAATTTGTCGTGAGCTCTTCAGAGCTTACCGTGGATTAGTCATGTTCACGTTGAATAGGGATACCATGTAAAACTCGTGTCTCTAGTGCTCTTTCAATTCCGCATTGTCAAATTCTTCATATTTATGTTTAATTCTCATGTTTGAGTAGTAGACAAAACAACGAGTGAAAATTGGGTCCATAGAAACTGAGGCAAAAACTCACTTATGTAAAAGTTATAATTCCGGCACCCATTCCGTAATTCACATTTCGCATTCTCCCTTTTTCCTCAAAGCTATCCTCATCTTCTCCCCATTTCTCAACTACTTCATCCTCACTCACTTTCATCTCCTTCCAATCCATTGTTTCTCTCCTCACCTTCATCCTTCTCACCATGTCCAGCTTCTGATGTTTGGTTAGTCCGTGTCTGATTGTATTATATCAAAAAATTCATTTGCTTCCATGGCAATAAGTTTCAATCTATTGTGATTTCAAATTCTGTTTTGATCAGAGTTTGTTCGTTATAAAGAATGAAGAGGAAATTTTGGTATTTTTCTTAAATTCCCACTCCACCAATTCCCCCAATAATAAAATTGTTCCAAATGTGTGAATTTTCTCAATTTCAACTATCAAATTTCTTGGGTTTGTAATAATGGGAATTGAGCTCATTTCCCGCTATTCTGAATTCCAAAGCCAACTGACCCCTAACATTTTTGTTTCACATGACTTTACAAGAGGAATGTTCATCGTCGAACGAATGAGATTTTGGGAGTTCGATTATTGTACATTCGGGTTGGGTATTATTATTTCAATGTGAATATTAGAGAGTAAGTGTATATTGGGTTGCCATTTCTAATTTTCATTCATAAGTGTGTGACGGGCAATAGAATTATAGAGAATGAGTTTTTGGGAAAGAATATCTCTATATCTAATATGCCTACTAAACAAGGCACGCCAAAAGTAAAGTGTATTCACATAATGCAAAGCCCTAGTCATGGCAATTATTCTTGTACATTGTCCTAGTTTTACCAAAAGGATCGTCCAATCAATTTCAAAGGCATGTTTCAACAATAAGGTGTGACCCAAAAAAATTTATTTATTGAATCGGTTGCTTTTTATTATTTAAGCTTGGTAGTAGTAAAGAACGACCCCACTGATACAACGAAAGGCAGAATTCATTGTGAATTCTCTTGCAAAAGCCCTATTCCTGCTACTATTGATATCTAATTTGTTTGCCATATCAACGATTTACAAAGTGCATTTACCCTACAACTTCAAAATCAATAGTTAAGAAGGCTGACAACTCAAAATCTTGCTGCAAACTCTGACAAACTGAATCCCCCTGTCTATTTGCTTCACCATGAACTCTTCTGCATCGTCCCTCCAAATGCCACTTGTGAAAGTGCACCATATCACACAATTTTTTCTCCATGCCGTTGTATTATAACTTTCCAAGACACACCATGATTGCAAGGACTAGTTCAAGGACCCTTTGTTGAGAAGTAATGAAACTCCTACAATCTGTTGCAATTGCTGAGAAAACTTGCTGGAAAAAAGGATGACTAATATTCACTTATACTTCCACATAGTGGACACTTATCATCACTAACACTCCATAATTCTTGTTCATTGCTTTTGAAACAAAGTGTGTCTCAGACTAGTCGTATATAATATTGTTCCATAGGTAAGTCATTTCATAAAATTGCAGTCCCCTGCTTTTCACCCTTGTGGTCTAAGCTTTAAAATATTTTGCCAAGCCCAAGAGCTGTTAGAATTAACCTGCATTGGCCACACTCCGTCCTCCTTGCAACGATACATCCATCCATGCAACCCAAAAAAAGAATCAACCTTGGAATTTTAAAAAATTGTAAAAAATGATGAAGAACTATTAAAAAAAATTTACTTGAACAAATTAGCTTAGTATACACATAAGTACGATATCTAATAAAGAAATTAAAAATAAACAATGTGAAGCAAAATCTAGGAAGTTGAAAATGGATGTTTAAAAGAACTAAGGGCTAAATTAGAGATGAAGGTTGGTGGTGGTCTTATATCATACTAGAAAAAAACCCGCGCTATGCTGCGGATGACGGCATTCTAGTATTGAAATTAGTTATTCCATTTTAAATTTCCATCATATATATTGAATTTCTCTTAACGGTGTATTACTTGATGAAATCAATCATTATGCAAGTTAGATAGAAAATTATAATTAGACTATATAAAAAAATGGCTTTAGTGACCTTATCATGCCCACATAGTAGTTTTGGTATCCTTGAATAATTAACCTAGTCCAAATCATCAAAGTTCAGGTACA